CAAATAAGAGAGGGGGTGTGGTGGAGGGTATGGTTAGGGGTGTGCCCCTAGTGTCACCCCCTTCAAAAACTCGTCGGAAAATATATGTTGATTGTTTGTGGTACTTTACTGCCACGTGAACGTGGAGCCAGGTGGCGGTCCAGGTTCAATTTTAGTAGGACATGCTCTTCCGCTGAAGAAAAACTACCGAGGGACCTTTTTAAACTAAACGGTTCCTCAGGAGGACGACACCGGCAACGTAACCGTTCCCTCATAAGCTCAAACCATCTGTCGCAACGACAGGCGCAACGCGCGTTACAACAAAACAAAGGGATGTTTATGTATAAACCCAAAACTTGGTCTGACTTATTTTAAAACTTCTTTCATTTGGAAAGTCTTAAGGAACTAAAATGTCTTAAGGAACTAAAATATGAAACCAAGGAAGGGGACACATCACTTGTCCCCTCCAATGATTTCATATTTTGGGTCCCTGTAGCAGCGTTCTATTTTTTTTTAATTACAACTATTTTCTATTTAGTGAACTGTTGAAATTTGTGTGAATCTTCCTGGTATTTTACACATACAACTTTTTGTGCATATTTCACTCATTCTTGTTTTTCACTTAAGTTGAATCTTAATTGCCAACTAAAAAAAAGATCAGAACTAAAGTAGCGGCATCTTTATGTTTTATAGTGCTAAGTGTTGAAATCTATTTTAGTAGTTTCGTATGCATCAAAATATTGCAAACTATACCAAATTTTATAGCAAAATATGTATTTCAAAACATTGAAATGCACAAAAGCAAGTTAATGAATAATTCGAAATGATGTTTTGGATTTAAAAATGACTCTGAAGCGGCTGTGTTTAATTTTAACAAACCTAAAACTTTGGGTTTATATATAAAAACCCACAAAAATCGTGATCATCTCCTTTCAATCCAACTCTCCTTCTCATTCCTTCGTCCTTGCTCTTCTTCATCTCAAACCCCAAATCCTCAAACCCTAGCTCTACTACTAACCCTAGCACCTGAATCCAATGATCTGAGATCGTTCGGCGGCGACTGCGGCGTCGACGGCAACGATGGCATCCTCCTTCTTCGAGATCCGGCTCTTCTACGTCCGGATCTCCCCGTGCTCGATCGACACCGTTCCTTCATCCCTAACCCTAACTCATCTCCGCCGTCCAATTGGAGTCTGCCTCGAGATCAACGGCTCAAAGATCCCCTCCTTCGATCAAACCTCTCTCCTCCTCCGCCGCGATCGGATCGACCGCGAGACGTTGGAAGTGACCTACGTCAGCACCGACGGCGTCAAGCTCACTGGCCCCGTAGATTTCGAGGTGATCGATGATCGAGGTAACCTAATCCTTTGTGGATCGCTGGAGAAGATGGGGGCGGCGTGGAGCAACGGGAGTATTGGATCCGATAAGGATCCGAAAACGGGGTGGAGCATGGATTGTTATTTGGCGGCGTCGATTAATGGATCGGGTGTGTTACAGCCGAAGTTGGGGATTGTGAATCCGTTGATTGAGGTTTATGTGGCTGGATGTTTCGGTGGAGTTCCGTTGATCTTGACGCAGACTGTGCAGATGAGTCCGAGGAAAAAAGTGAGGCCAGGGGTTTTGGATTCGATACCGGAGGATGCGGAGAGTGGTGAGAGGGTTAATGGGAGGAGTAATGGTTTGGTTCTGCGACGGACGACCACATCGGTGAGAATCTGTTGATTTTGTTTTTCTTGATGTCTTAGAGGTAGTTTTTTTTCAGCTGCTATGCAGCTTATATAGTTGCACAAACGGTTTAAATCAAATATATCAGTTTTTGTTACAGCCTGCAGTTGGGAAGCAAATAAAAAAAATTAGGATTGAGCTGTAAACCAACCTGATAATGGTGTTCGGGACAGATCATGGTAGTTGGAACTGTATCCATATGGGAATCAATTATAAATTAACTTTAAGCAACCAAATTGTCACAAATTTAATTGATTATTGATATAGTATTACCTTTTGTTGTTGTATAAGGGCCAGTTTGATTTTTTTTAGGCTGCTTTTGCTTATTGTTTCATTAAGCAGACAATAATTGTGTTTGGTGAAAATTTTATTGATATGCTTAAAATTGCTTATGCTTTTAAGGGGTTGCTTTTAGAAGCAATCTGCTACTTATATAAGTTGCTGCTATAAGCTGCTTTTATAAGCAACTTATTATAAGCTCTAGCAATACCAAACTAGCACTAAAACAACATGATTCTTGCCCCACAGCTGCATTTTGATTGCTGGAGATATTTATGCGTAATAGAGCGTAGGGTCTGCATGCTTAATCTCAGTGGCATTATAGCTTGTATGTTTGTTATTGGTTGTTGATCCACTACATCATACTCTTGTTCTTGTAATTGCAAGGGTTACCAAAATTATGGATCTGCCATTGAATGCTTTTATAGCATTCTGTAGACATTATTAATGATATGGAGTGAGGTGTAAAATAATGTATCTTTAAATTGACTTAACTCTGATGTGCAAGTTTCCCTATTGAACTTAAAAGGGAAGAACAGTAAATTCTGAGAACCAATTAGTTAGGAATATACAAGTTATCATATTTGGTTAATTGGTTGAATGGCGTATCTAATGCTAGAATTTCCTAGGACTGTGGTAGTATACGAGAGTTTAATATAAAAGCCAAAAAATTATTGACATGTTTTTTTAATGCACATGGCTATTATTTCACACCAAATATTGTTTCAGGATCTTTGATTCCTTGTGTGATTGTATGAGAAATAAATCATGAGTCACTGATATTCAAGGTTATAAAGAAATTCGAGTAAAATAACCATAATCTTTGAAATCTGATCATGAGATTTGGTTAATCATTGCATATCTTGTTCCCTTACTGGTGCGTAAAGTACTTTGATATTGATGGTAAATTTGTGATGTGCAGTTTAGATAGCTCCAAGGTCACCTTCAAGTTGTGACACCACCTTCCTCTCTCGTGTCCCCTACTTCTTCGTCATATCTTACTCCCTCAATTATACTTGTCATACTTAATAACTTGCTGTTGTCAATTACCAATCGCTGCCTAATGTCTCTGGTGTCCACTCATTGCCACTTTCCTCATGCAAGCACAAGAGATCTCATGTGTAACATCTTCCCCTGCAACCAGCCATCATCATGCAAGTGTGCCCTTTCACCATTACTGGCTTCACCTTGATCTATCCATTTATTGGCGGCTACACTAGTGATCAAACAACTACTGCTAAATCTGCAGGAAACTAGTTATTTTCTGTTCTTCTTGGAGGCAGAACATATTTTATTACCTTTCCTACTTTCCCAGAGCGCACTAATGATTTCACTATAGTGATGACCTCCAGATAATGCATGTGGGAAGAATATTCAGATGAGTGGCAACATACTATAGCATAAAATATAGGGTAGGATTATAATTCAGTGCATCACTGAGAAGCTAAAAGTTCAAAATGACAAATCTTGTTGTATGAAGAGGTTTGAATGTGTCCAGTGAAAAGGCTGGGTGTACAGAATAAAATTTCAAAACATGACAAAAGTGACCAGAGAATGTGCCAGTTATAAGAAATGAAAATCATGGTTGAAGCCTCGAAGGAGTGTTAATGGACAAAGAGTACCAGAATGCTCCTGGATGAAAAGCTTTGTTTTTATCATTTTTAAGTTTAGCCTGTAATGGGAATAAATTACTGCCAGAGTGGAGAAAGATTGGAGTTTGCTTGAAAACTGTTGTCAGATCTTTTACAAGCTTTTCTTATGGTCTTTGTTTGAATTAAGTTGGCTGTGCTGTGTTACGCCCTTGACATCACTCGCGATGTAAGATTAGCCTAGCAAACACTTAAAAGAGAAGTAAATGTAGGGCACCAGCGGATGATCTTTTGACACCTATCCAAAATTTCTGATCTCTGTAGCTTTTAATTAAAAATAAAATCTTTATTCTAATATTGAACATTTCTTAACCATTTCTCTGTATTTGATTTACATTTACTTAAGATTTTGAATGATATGCATGCTTGCCATCTCATGACGTTCACAGGTATCAGAAGGGGATTCTGACGATGGTTATGATTCAGACACCAAGGTTGGACCCACATACTATCCCGAAGGTTGGTACATGGATGAAGATGGTCAGCTCTCATGGTTTAACGCTGGTGTCAGAGTCGGAGTTGGTATAGGCTTAGGAATGTGTGTTGGACTCGGGATTGGTGTTGGACTCCTCATGCGCTCATATCAAGCAACCACCAGAAGTTTCAAAAGGCGGTTCTTCTAAAGATCTGGCGTTTTCTTGCAGAAATTGCTTTGAGAAAAGCTCCTCTGCTGCCTGCAATGTAGGCTCCAGTTTTGGCACGCCACTGTACAGTAAGCCTTAGAATCATAAGTTTTCTTTTCTGAGTAGTCTGTTTGTCTATCTCATTTCTTTGTGAGGGAGTTACATGCATGTGGGATGAGATAGGGAAAGTTTCAGGTAAAGCACAGAAATCTAACCAGAACAGAATTTTCAGGTTTGCGGGATTGCGTGGTGTGTTTGCTGTAAGTATGTGCACTTGGAAGAGGCTAACCATGCCTGTGTGTTCATCTTGTGTATGAAATAAGCATCCCTGTTGAATTTATTTTATTTAACCCATGTCATCCCAATCATTGATTAGGGGTTTCTATATCGCTCATGCGTTTGTTTATTTCTTTAATGTCTTTTTGGTCATGTAAGTTTGCTTGTGTTCCATCTTGTGCAGTAATCTCAGGTAACTTCATGTGACAACAGCCAAATTCGTGGGTTCTTCATTGGTGTAATTAGTGGACGATGAGAATATTTTTTGGGATATTGCTTTTTAATGTTATTCATTGCGGGGTAATGGCATTAGGACTCGCTTTTGGTGTTGGTTGGGTAATGGAATTGGGACATTGCATTTTGGTATTATCGGTTTGATGGAATATTCGTGGGACAATTTTCCCACTTGAGATAAAATTGTTCTACCTTTGTACAAAACTTTTACGTCAATGCCAAAAGTTAGCCCCATTGGTCATATGGGAACAATAATGTCCTGTTTTGAAGGCAAGGCAAATGACATGACCTGAAACTTTCTTATGGTAAAAGACTGGTACATGCTAATTATATTATAAATATATAAAATTATATATAATAATATAATATAATAATATTTTTAATATATTTTATTATATTAGAGTGTAATATAATAAAATATTATTATAATTCAAAGTAATGTGTGTACTTTATTCTACAATTTTTTACATAATATTATACAATATCCAGTACCATACCATATTATAATTATCATGATATAATATAATACATTAATTAGTAGTCATAAGTTTATTGTTTACATATCATGGTAGCTATAATATGACATAATATTATATTGTAACAACATAATGTAATATAGGTGATGTTTTAATATGATAGTACAATATATTACTTTAAATTACTTTCCTATACTATAATATATTGCATTATTTACAATTTATTATTTTGTCAAAAACTTCCATGATCTCTTAATCTCGATATTTTTACTATTTTTGTTTGATCTCTTAATCTCGATATTTTACACTTGTTTCCTTTTTGAACGAAAACAAATTAATTATGTGTATATTAATATTTGTAATTTTCATGAGCTGTAATCTATGAAGTATTACAATTTTTATTAGCTTTGAATGAGTGCAAATCTAATATGTGCACATTAAAATTTGCTATTTTCATGAGTTATAGCTAATGTTTTTTTTTTAATTTAGTTTGTTTTGAATGAATACAAATTAATTATGTGTACATAAAAATTCACGATTATAATGAGTCATAACCCATGATTTTTGTCAAGTTTTGTTCTTTTTGAATGAATGATAATTAATCATGTATATCTCAACATTCACTATTTTTATGAGCTATAACTCATGATTTTTGACAAGTTTTGTCTGTTTCCAATGAACACAAATTTTATATGGTGCACATTAAAAATTGTGACTTTCATGAGCTATAGCTCATGGTGTTTGTCAATTTTTTTGTTGCCTACGGCTACAGATTTATTACACGCACGCATATGCACACACACACGCAAACGCATGCACGCACGTGCACACGCATGCACACGCACGTGCATGGGCGCACGAGCGGGTGCACGCGCGAGCGCAAATGCATGCACGCATGCTCCCGCACACGCACGAACACACGTCCGCGCCCATACAAGCATGCGCGCACGCGCCCCCACACCCACACACATCCACACTCTCACGCTCACGCGCGCACGCACGTGCGCACATGTGCACGCGCGCGCACACACATATATATTTATATGCATGAAATCATGCATTTTTTATCTCAATGAAATTATTTGCCATTAGTAAGAAATGACTTAAATGGCCAAAAAGCTAGCTCATGAAATTGTGAATTTTGAGTTTTGTGGAATTATTTGTTGAATGCTAAAAACAACTAAAAATTACCAAAAATTATGGGCTATAGTTCATGAGATCGTGAATTTTGATATCTGCAAATTTATTTTCCGATGGGTAGAAATGACTAACAATAGCTAAAAATCTTGGGTTGTACTGTATTAAATTGTGAATATTAGCCATCATAAAATTATTTGTCAATGGGTAAAATTGATTAAAAATGACAAAAAATCATGAGTTATAGCCTTATAGGTCATAAAATCATAAATTTTGGACTTCGCGAAATTATGTGTAAACAAACAGACAATAAAAAAGCCTTGAAATATTGAGTTATTGCTTAAGAAATCATGAAGTTTGGCACTAACAAAATTATTTGCCGACGGACAAAATACTAAAAACTAGCAAAAATCATGGGTTATATAGCATATGAAATCATGAATTTTGGCCTCTGTGAAATTATGTGCTATGTTCAGAAATGTCTAAACATGGTAAAGAAATAATGGGTTATAACTCGTGAATTTTGGCCCTTACGAAATTAATTGCCAATGGGTAAAAATGTTTAAAACTAGCTAAAAATCGTTGGTTATAGGTCATGAAATCGTTAATTTTAAACTGCAAAAATATGTACCTATGGATAGATAACTAAAAATAGCCTAAAATCATGAGTTGTAGCTCAATAAATTATGAATTTTGGTATTTGTAAAATTATTTGTCAATGGGTAGAAAAGACTAAAAACTGACAAAAATTATGGGTTCTAGCTTATGAAATCTTAAATTTTAGTCTCCATGAAATTATTTACAATTGGTCAGGAATGACTTAGATTGACCAAAAATCATGAATTATAGCTCATAAAATAGTGAAATTTGGCGCGAGCGAAATTATTTACCAATGGTCAGAAATGACCTAAAATAATAAATGGGTTATAGCTCAAAAAATCATAAAGTTTGGAATTGCCAACATTATTTTTCAATGGATAGAAATAATAAAAACGACCTAAAATCATGGGTTATAGCTTATGAAATCATGAATTTTTGGCCTCTAGGAAATTATTTGAAATGGACTTCAAAATGATATAAATCGTGGGTTATAGCTCACGAATTGTGAATTTTGGCCTCCACGAAATTATTTGCCAATGGATAAAAACGAGTAAAAATGACATATAATTGTAAGTTGTAGCTCATATAACTACGAATTTTTGACTTCTCCGCATTATTTGCTAGTTGATAGAACAACAGAAAATAGCCTAAAATTGTGGGCTATAGGTGACAAAATTATGAATTCTAGACTTCACGAAATTATTTACTAATGGATAGAAATAACCTAAAACGATCGGAAATCATGGGTTATAGCTTAAAAAATTATGAATTTTGGACTCGCCAAAATTATTTTTCAATGAATAGAAATAATGATATGATCTAAAATCATGAGTTATAACTTAAAAACAACTTCAAAAATATGGAAATTGTGAGTTTTTTAAACTGATAATAACGACTGTAAATTGCCAATGGTAAAAAATTATAGCTCATAAAATTGTGAATTTTAAACTCTGCAAAATTATTTGCTAATGGTAAAAAATAACTTTAAAAGGAAAGAAATTGTAGGTTATAGTTCATAAAATTGCGAATCTTGGCCTCAACAAATGATCAGAAATAACTTAAAATGGCTAAAAATTATGGGTTATAGCTCATGAAATCGTGAATTTTGCTATCACTGAAATTATATGTCAACTGATAATAACGACTATAAATGGTCTAAAATCATGAGTTATACCTCGTAAAATTATGAATTTTAAACTCTACAAATTTTTTTGCCAATGAATAAAAATGACCTAAAACCGTGAGTTATACCTCATTAATATGTGAATTTTTTACTTTGCGACATTTGTTGCCAATTAATTGAAATAACTAAAAATAGCCTAAAGTCATGGTTATGGCTCTTGAAATTGAGAAATTTGACTCCCCGAAATATTTTCCAACAAGTAGAAATACCTAAAAGTGGAAAAAAAATCATGGGTAGCACATGAAATTATGAATATTGGCTTTGTGAAATTATAGCTCATGAAATCATAAATTTTAATATTCGTGAAGTTATTGGTGATGGTAGAAACTACTAAAAATGACAAAAAATCATGGGTTATATAGCTCATGAAATTGTGAAATTTTCTCTGTGAGATTATTTGTCGATGGGTACAAATGATTAAATATGGCCAACAATGTTGATTACAGCTCAAGAAATCATAAGTTTTAGATTCTAAAAAATTATTTAGCAAGTGATAGAAATGACTAAAATGACATAAAATTGTGTGTTATATGAAATCATGAATTTTAAACTATGTAAAATTATCTGCCAATTGATAGAAACTACTAAAAATGGCCTAGAATCATGGGTTATAGAATATGAAACATGAATTATGAACTCGATAAAATTATTTGTTAATGGATAGACACATCTAAAAATGACTTAAAACCATGCATTATAAGTCATAAAGTTGCAAATTTTAGACTTTGCAATATAATTTGCCAATCATTAGAAATGAATAAAAATGGTAAAAAAAAATTGTGTGTTGCATCTTAGGAACCGTAAATTTTGGCGTACACAAAATAATTTGTCAATGTATAAAAATGGCTAAAAAAAGTCTAGAATTGTGAGTCATAGCTCACGAAATTGTTTATTTTGGACATCATGAGATTGTTTGCCAATTGATAAAAAAGTTTTAAAATGGCCTAAAATCATGGTTATATCTCATGAAATTGAAAAAAAATCTACTCCTTGAAATTATTTGTCGATGGGTAAAAAACCTAAAAATGGGAAAAAAAATCATGAGTCATAGCTCATGAAATTATGAAATTTGGCTCTATGAAATAATAGATCATTTTTTAACCGGAAGTTCGTGCAGGTCCCCGGGCAGACCTATAAATTGTATTAATTAGGATGTAGAAATAGCTAGAGTTTGACACAAGAAGGATGTGGTCATGGACGATTGTTCCTTAGAGGCATTTAAAGAATACAAGGATATTTTAGAATTATCCCAACATCATACAAAACACATGCCAATAAAGAAGATTCCGATGACCCAAGAAAAAATAAAGATCCAAAAGAGTGCCAAAAAGGCTACAAATGATGTTTATATGTTGATGAAATAATTGATCATGAAATTATGAATTCTAGCATTAGTGAAATTATTTGGTGCTGATTAGAAATGACTAAAAATGTCTAGAAATTGTAGGTTGTAGCTCATGAAATTATGATTTTTGCCTTTGTGAAAATATTTGCCGAAGGGTAAAAATGATTAAAAATGGCCAAAAACCATTGGATATAGCTCATGAAATCATAAATTTTGAACTGCAAAATTATTTAGC